GGAAATGAAAATCGCAACGAGAGAATCGCAATGCGATTTTAATTTCGCATTGCGATTCTCTCGTTGCGATTTTCATTTCGCATTGCGATTTTCATTTCGCATTGCGATTCTCTCGTTGCGATTTTCATTTCGCATTGCGATTTTCATTTCCGCATTGCGATTCTCTCGTTGCGATTTTCATTTCACATTGCGATTTTCATTTCCGCATTGCGATTTTCATGTTGGGATTTTCATTTCGCATTGCGATTCTCTCGTTGCGATTGTAATTTCCGTGTTGCGATAGTCAAATGCATGCCTAATAAGTGATAACAACTGAATAACAAGAGTTGGTTAAGTCAAAATGGTTGGCCTGAGTCATTAATTCAACTGAAAATTTTAAAAGTTCACACATAAAATCCACATAATACAACGTTTGCATTTAAAAATCACCTAAGTTAACAGTCCCAAAAGGTGAAGCCAATTGTGATTGGGATTTTAAAGATTATTGCCTTTTGCTTGACACCATATGAGCTTTGGATTTTGATGAGGATCCATATTTTGGTAGAGGAAAAGATGATTTTGATGGCACTGGTGATCCACATGTCAACCTTGTATGACCACTTTCCTTGCACCGACTACATGTTGATCTCTTCTTCTCTTCACCCTTAGACGGTATACGATCGTGACTTTTTGGTCGGCCAGGTAGCCTTCTGTCCATGGCTGGTGGCAAAACTGTTTGTAAGTCATCTGGTATGTCCCACTCAGAAGGATGTGGAATAGGGTAGACAATCTCGGCATAAGTCTGTCGATAAACTTCTGTAGTGTAGCAATCCATAGCGTATGCGCTTGAATCATCTTGGTTTAAATGAAGAGCAACTTTTATAACATGGCCACACGGATAACCAGATGTTTGCCATTTCATACAACTACACGTCTTTGCATTTAGATCGACTAGCCCATTTAAGTTATTATCCAGTACTTGAAACAAAGTGTTTGAACATGGTTCAACTCTCCATGACGTTGACTTCACAACACGTTTCGTTATCTTTTTTTCAGTCCATGGTGTAACACGATGTTCCAATGTTCCTGTAAATTTAAATAAACAATACTTAGTAAAATATAAATATGATAAGTTACGAATTCAAAGAAATAATACCTGCATGGTTTCTTTTCTTGTAGTACCACTGTTGAATAGAGGCTCGAAAAAACTCCATTAACATAGTAATGGGTAATTTCCGGGAATGACGACTTAGAGCGTTGATTGATTCTGCACTATTAGACGTCATGAAACCATATCTTGCTCCAAGTTGATGTACTCTTGACCATCTTTCAAACCCGACATCTTCTAGTGTTTGAGCACACTGAGGCAAAACACGTCTTAAACAATTTATATGCTTATTGAAATCCACTTCCCGATAAGCTTTTACAGCCTTCCAGTATGTCCATTTGTGCTTTTTTATACCAGCAGACCTTGATTTTAGATTTCTATACAAATGAACACCACAAAGTCCATGAAAAGTATCTGAGAAACACCTTCTAACAGCGTTGTCAATTGAGTTTGCCCTATCGGATATGATTGTCAGATTGCTAATAGGACCTATGCAATCCCTAAGATGCCCCATAAACCATGTCCATGAATCAGAGGTTTCAGATTTGCCAACCCCGTAAGCTATTGGCAATATCCCATTGTTAGCATCCATGGCTACTGCTAATAAGTTTACTCCAAGGTATCGACCTTTCAAATGTGCTCCGTCAACTATAATAACTGGGCGCATGCAAGTAATAAACGAACGAATCTACAAAATAATATACACAAGAAATATAATCATTTAAATGTGAAATGCATGTAACTAACAAAAATGAGTCAACAAAATTATATTGATTTACTAACCGTAGCACCAATGGCGATAAACAGCAACTCAAAGCGTCCATCTCTATCTGTTTTGATATGAGTTACCGACCCAGGATTTTTCAGCTTTAAATTGTGACAATAAGCCGGCAGTTGGGCAAACGATGCTTCTGGCGACCCTCTCAACAATTCCAAGGCATAACATTTGGCTCTCCAAGCTTGAGAATATGATATACTAATCTTGAACCGAGCATTCATGTCAGTCATAATTTCATGTCCCCGATATACCCTGCCATTCAAAACATTAACTCAGCCAGAAAACCACCCAACACCTTTTTGTTTGCCTATCTATGGTGAGGAAAAACTTGGGTTCTTGAACATGTATGTTTATCAATAAAAGTCCTAACTTGAAACATTTCGCAATCTTTTATTCTCTTTGCAATCATACGCCACGTACAGTTTTTGTCAATCATACACCTTGTTTCGAAACGATCTTTGCTTGATTTGTTAACTTTTAGTTGATAGCCATCTTCCACACATTTCGTATACAAAGCTATCTTCAAGTCTTCCTTTGTATCAAAACAATCATCTTTCTTGATACGAATAACTTTTGTGTAACAATCAACTGCTTTCTTTACCAACTCTTCTTCCGGTATCTGAAGTAATTCTGGCATATTCCAGTTATACGCCCGTGGCATTTTCCTTTCTTCGGGGACTTTTTCTTCTTCTTTTTCTTCTTCAGGATTATATGAATTACAGAATGGATGTTCAACATGTTCATTCACAGTCGTAACTTCCTCCTCATTATCATCAACAATACATTCTTCGGCAACGGCTGTTTCATCATCAAAATTCGGGTATTGACCAATATCAAAATCATTACACGCAGGGTCTGTTTCTTCTTCTGAAACATCATCAAAATCCGTGTATTGACCAATATCAAAGTCCGGATATTGACCAAGACCAAATTTCGAATACTGACTAGTACTCACAATTTTTTCTGTTGGCTCATCATCGTCTAACTGGTCAATACGAAAACCGGAATTTGGTGCTGAAAGTTGATTGGGATTTGGATTAGAGAAAGGTTGTGGGTTTTGAGAAAAACTTAGTTGATTACTACCCGCTACTGACCCAACAATACTACTTCTAGGTTCAACAACATACAATGTAACATCATCTTGTGAAACACTAATGTAAGCAATGAATCGTTCAACATCTTCATTGTCGGTTAACAAATAAACTTTACCATTTCTCTGATAAGATAGCCTAAATCCACTTAGGGGCTCTAAATTCAATTTATTTGAAACACGTAGCATTAGAGTTTCATAAGTTAACTTTTGTAAAGACAATTTTAGTTGAAGATTCATGGGTAAAGGCATATATTGTAAAACACCATGAACATCATCCCATGACCCTCCAAAACACAAATCTATCCAAACATTATCAACATTAGATGATTTCATGGTTGTAAATTAATTTACTAAACAGACGAGCTGCGAAACTAAAACCTGTTGCCGGATTGGGAAGGATGTCGTTGGATATAGGAACGGATGTCGCTGGAGAGAGTGATAGATGGAGATGGAATGAGTTGCGATTTAGGGATTTAGTTTATGATTTGCTGCTGTTGCGTAGTTATATACCCAAAATTTCATTGTTGTGATTTACAGATTCTCGTTGCGATTTACGGATTATCGTTGCGATTTACAGATTCTCGTTGCGATTTACGGATTATCGTTGCGATTTACGGATACGCGTTACGATATACGGATACACATTGCGATTTACGGATACGCGTTGCGATTTACGGATACACGTTGCGATTTACGGATACGCGTTGCGATTTATGTGTTCGCGTTGCGATTTTCATATTCGCGTTGCGATTCTGTAAAATCGCAATGCGAATTTGTACTATCGCATTGCGATTTTCAAGAATCGCGTTGCGATTTTGGAAACTGATTTGCGATTCTGAGGATCGCGTTGCGATTTTTATTTCGCGTTGCGATTTTGTTGGTCATTTTGGCAAATCCAAAAAAAGTTGGTTAAAATCGTATATTATAAGGCATTTTTTGTCACTGAGGCGATTTTCTCTTTTTTTATTGATTCTCCTACATTAAGGTTTAATTAACAAATTGATCAGTAAACTATATTCAAATTCTCATTTTGACCCTTCAAATTTATTTCTTCAAAAGTGTATACTAAAAACAAATGACTAGCTTGTTAAAATGCAATTTAATCTCGGTGTCTCTTCAAAACTCGATTTGAATTAATCAATCAATAGGTTGAATACTAATAGTTAATTTAAAATATGTATAATTTAATCAGTGTCTCTTCAAAGTTGAACTTGACACTGGACAGCGTATTTCTTTTTCACAATGCCTTGCCCAATTCATTGCCCTGCGGGTGTGGGTGAGGCTTCTTCAATTTACCAGAATAAGTATTTATTAATCATATATTTAAATTATTTATTCTAAATTTTATCACACTAATAATGATAACAAATGTAGTAGTAAAAGTCTAATGAAGAAATCTAACTAAACAAAAATTTGATACTTGGTTTTTAGTTACTTTATATAAATATCATATATTTAATATTTGTAACGAATTCATGTGATAATTATGCAAAATCTCAGTACATGAAATATTTGTATAGTTAGGGCAATTGTTTGGTCATAATTGCGTAACATATATCATGGCACCAAAACAGAGTCATCCTCTGTTTCGGAAACTGTTGACTGCTAAGGGATTTCAGGACCTATTAACAAAAAAAATCCCCAAGAACATAGGAGGATAGTTGTTGAAGAAATCTGTCTTTCAATATGTAGCATGAAGAATCAAATGAGAAATTATCATGAAGTTGTCTTAGCAGTTAATATTGTAGGGGGAAATATGACATGGCATACTTTACAGATGCCATTAATGGATCTCTGTGTATTGAACTCTTCCCCATCTAGGAAAGCAACCGTGACCGTTTCGTTTAAGATGTTGGTGATATATATACGACTAGAAAAATAGAAGGTAAGTGAAGATTTTTCTTTGTGTTTCAACTTTCAAGGCGTTTACAACAAGTACAGAAGAGCTATATGTATGTAGCGTTGTTTCATATAGTTTCGTATGAAAAGCTGATGAATACATACATTTTTGCTGAAGGTGGCTAATTAGTCCTCTGAAATACTGAAAGAGGACCATATATGCTGCATACATAGCATCATAGTATACTGTGTGTTTATCTTCAAGCAGTTGGATAAGAGGCTTCCATTGCAATACCGCAAAGACCTTCTTTGGCATCAATATTTCTTTCCATTCTGATGTATCCGTCCTCACCCCAGCTAGTGCCCCATGAATTCTTCACCAACCAATACTTGGTCCCATCATCATCTTGTCCATAGCCAACTGCTGTAACCCCATGGTCTAGGTAGGTAGTGCATTCGCCAGTGAAGACACCACTTTTGTAGTGTTGGAAGTCGGCCCCACCGGCATCAATGGCAACTGAAACAGGCTGGTTGGCCACAGCTTTTAATAGTGCTGACTCGCTATTTGAAGGTACATCTTCGTAACCAGTGATCTTAGCTGCATGGTTGGCAGATTCTTTCTTGTTGCAGCTTCCATCAACTCCTTCATAGGGGTAATTGGTTTCGGTAGTAAGTCCTTTGTTTGAAATGATAAATTCAAATGCATCGTCCATGAGACCACCATTGCAACCTTGGTCTTCGCCATTGACATCACAATCAACCAACTCTTGCTCTGATAGTGATATCAATGTACCAGTTTTGAGCTTGGTAATCCCTTCCGTGGCTGCCACAGCTGAGAACGCCCAACAACATCCTATATGATCCAAACCAAAAAGAAACAATTAGCATTGTGGAATCATAATTATTTCAATTTCTTTGCAAATTCCTTTGCTTACCACATTGGCCTTGGTCCTTGACGCCGGTCACAGCTCCTTTCTTTCTCCAATCCATGCTAGATGGAACTGCAGTAACATTTTCAAACCTGAAAGAAGATGTTTTGGGAGCTGGAATACTGTTGGAAGATCGCATTTTATAACCATTTCTCATGGCTTTAAACTCTTCATTGGTCAAGTCTGTGAATTCATTAACACCTAACTTGTACTTTTTGCTGGAATCAGCATTGTGGGATTTGATGTACTCCACATTTTCCATGAATATTTGGAAACGTTTATCCTTCTCTGTCTCATCCTGATAAACTCGACTATAGCTAGACAACCATTGTTCAAACCCATCAGACATGGACACCTCAGGAACAGAGCGGGACGAGACCTGAGAAGCCCAAATTCCCAAAACAAAGAGTAAAGCCAGACATTGAGTTGCCGAAGCCATTGGTAGACAAGTAAGAATCAAGAAAAAGGAATGCTAAATCATAAGATGGTTTGTGGTTTATATAAAGAGGGTTTCCCAAGGAACGACTCTCCAATATTTGGAACAGACAAAAACAGACACCCTCATTCTACGTGCCCTGAAAATTGTTCTGACAAAGACTCCATGCTAATTTGATTTCTGAATAAGATTCTATTTCGTATTAATGTGAAATTCTTTGATTACATCAATAAGTTCAATAATAGATTTCAACCATCTTCAGATTGCATACAGAGCACTGAATAATATGTGAAGATACAAGTATTGGAATGTTATACTGATAGCACCCTTTTATATTCTGAAATTGTAGAAATATGTTGCTGTTAAAGCCGTGTTTTCAGAAGTGTTTTAGCATAGTTCACATAATTCTATAATTCTTATATTTTGATGTAATTAGTAGCATTTATGTATGTGACAAAATAAGGGTCGGAAACATATATTTGTCATTATGCATTTAAAAATTAAACAGAAGACTTGATGGGGGCAAGTTAGCGTGCTGAGGCTGGCTAATTGTGATTCTATAAACTCACCAACCTGGAACAATCAGTCTAATTCAATCCCGAATTTTTTGCGTGGTAAGCAGAGAGTGGTCTTTTGTCCTCTTAGAAATGGCAAATGGGCTGAGCAGGTGAGGATAACCCTTCCTATTCATCTTCATACTTATCTAATATTTTCGTTTTCACTATATACTTACCACTTATGACGGGTAAAAATTTTAAATTTACACCCGTCCACGTGGGAACTATCTCAAATCCACCCCTATACCCACTATCCAACTGGATACTTACCAATCATTCCATACTCGTTTGTACTCATCGGTACCCGTCCATACTCATTTGACAGCAACCTCATGATTTACGTAAGCAACAAAACATAAAACAAATACACCCACTAAGAAGCATAATAAAATACTTATACCCTAATATTTAAATAATTACAAGTCATGTCCTATAAAATCTTAAAATTTACAGAGTAGTCTATGAAACTATACATAAATTCATAATGATCCAAAATTTATATTGTGGGTAGTTAGTGGGCGGGTGAATGTGGGACAGACGGATGCATGAGAGGTAAGGTCTCAAACCCATCACCTATCGACTACCCACGACGGGTATGACTTTTTACATCCACACCCGCTCACTACCCACTAAATTTATACCTATCCCCACCTCAATTAAAACGAATGTAATACAAAATCTATGAAATTGTACTCGTATGTCATCCCTAATCCTCTTCCATTAATATTTATTCTCATAGTGAAGCCTCCTCTTTATCTTATCAAAGTTGGACTTAGCAAGCTGGGCCCATTCTTTTAAGCAGAACATTCGAGAAAAGCTCTGGACTGGATCGTGTATTTTTTTCAGTGCCTTGCCCAATCCTTTGCCCCATGGGCGATGCTACTTCAACTTGCCAAAACAAACTTTTATTTATCATATATTTAAATTATTAATATGTATAGCTTACTGATAAAATTATTTTTAATTTTTTTAGAAATGGAAATATTATTATATTATTTTATAATTTATATTCTAAAATTCTTGATTATTTTTTAAAATATCATCTTTAATATTTAGATATGAATTTTTTCCACACATATGATACCAATAGATAATCAACTAACACAGCTAAAGCAACTATTATGAACCCTTGATTATTTATTTATACACAATAATATTCAAATCAAGTTTGATCATTTGAACAAATTTAAAACTACAGGCTAAAGTGCTAAACCTGTTTACATGCATAGTCTAACCTACACACACATTTATATTATGAAATATGCATATGTGGCATGTCTATCTCTGTGATAAGTTTATTTGAATCACGTTTCAGCATATGTCATATTAAAATTAGATGTGAGCTCTATCATTTTTAATAATTTTCATTTTAACTTTTTATTACATCTTGTATAATAAGTTAATTAAAACAATTTTCATAATTATGATGAAAATTAGGGAAAATTCTAGAATGGATGTCAAACATCGATATTCAGCACTAATTTTATAGCGTATAATTTATAAATGGACCTTAAATTATATCAAAATGATCATTCTAGACATCAAACTTTCAAAAGTTATATAATAGGCATTAAACTTTAGATTTTGTTACAAAGTGGGCACAACAACATTATCTATCATTAAAGAGGTGATGTAGCATGCTAAATTAATAGAAAATATCTCATTTGACAATTTAATTGTAACTAAAATTTCATTTTACTATTAATTTTAATTAAAATAATTTTTATTATGTTGCTTAAATTGAAAATAAAATGGATATAAATAAATTAAATATTATTTTTTTGTTTCATATTATAAATATTGAATTTATACCATATAAATTACTTGATACATTATTAAAAGTGAAGGATTTTTTTGATTATTTTTATTTAAGTTTGGACGTATTTTTCTTATTAATGTGATACTATAATTTTCTAGATGTATTTTTTTTAAAATTGTGTTTAAACTTCTTAAACATAAGTCATATGCTTGAATCATATCATTTAATAAAAAATAATTACATTGTTTGATAATTTAATTTTTGGATCTCAAAAATTATAATTTTTTAATTTTACAAATACAATCACGAGTAATAAATAACTAATTATAAAATAATTTGATGAATGAATAAATTTCAAAAAATTATAATTTTTAATTTTAAAAATAAATTGTCTTGATATATTTTTCAAAAAAAAATATAAATTTTCTAATTTCTTTTTGAAATTATTACTTAAAATATTGAAGAAAAAAATATCATAATAAAATTTTAGTTATAAATGAGAGACCAAATGAGATATTTTATATTAATTCATCATGTCATGTCACCCCTTAACAATATTTCACGATCGCTATCCAATTTTAAATAAAATCCGAAGTTTAATGTCTATTTTATAACTTTTAAAAATTCAATGACAAATTAAATCATTTTAATAAATTTAAAAATCATTTATGAATTTTACCATATTTTTATATTAGTAATATATATCTGTGCACATCATTAGTTATGTATATCGGTGTGTATCACTCACTCTAAACTCATCCCGAGAATTAGAGTTAAAAGAAACATCGATATAATAACAGTAGTTTAAGAAAGATATATCAAATTCCTTGTTGCCTGTCCAAGTGCTCAAATTCCTCATATTGTGTGCATGACCTGACGCATCAAAAATTTGAATCAACAAACATTCATGTATTTAGACAAGATATATCACTATCACCACAAAAACACTTTTACGTGGACGTGGCTTGATCTGGGCTGTTGATATTGTTCCGTGAAGATATGGACGGCGTAGAAGAGATAGTGAGGGAGTCAAAGAAGGTGCTGCTGGCGGCGGCTTTGCTTAATGAAATTAGAACGTGAGATGCGCATGGTGGGCTGTCTTGCTCGCAGCTTAAAACGGTCCCTTACGTCCGCCTTAAAAAATTTTAAAGTTGGTAATTCTGCCTAACTCATGAATTATATATGTATTTGATAATAATAGTCATAAAATTATTGTTTAGGGTTGGAAAATTTTAATATTCTCATTCAGCATGCACGTGCATAATAATCCCTTCAGTTCTTCTACATATATATTAATTAATCAGTTCTTTTACATATACATTAATTAATCAAGATGAAATGACCATCCAGCTCAGTTGGTAGAGCACAAGGTTCTTAACCTTAGGGTCGTGGGATCGTGTCTCACGGAGGGCATTTCATAATTCGGAGGTCTCATACGGAAGCTGCTCTCAACCTGGTGTTGGAGGCAGCCTATTATCCTACCTCCCCTTACCCCCATTATATATGGGAATAAGGGCCAGCTAATAATTAATTAATCAAGTATAATTTAATTTTTGTTCGTAAAAAGAAACAGTATTTTATTAGAGGTTGTAAATGCTGCATATTTAGAAAATCTCTTCAGAAACGGATCAAGACGAAAATCATGGCGGTGGAGGTGTCTTTTGGATGCTCCGAATGAGTGCCTCAAGAAAGGGACGTGAAGAGTTAAACCAGAAGAGAAGGCGCGAGCTGTATGTTCAGCCAACTTACTGTTGCGGAAGACGGCTATCGGATAGAGCAAAATCGTAACTGATAATTTGAGAAAATAAAAATGAAGATAAAAAGAGACAAAATTTACGTGAAAAACCCCTAAATAAAATAGGGTAAAAACCACGGGCAACGGTAGAAGAATTTCACTATGAGAAAATAGGAATTACAACCTCTCTCGATCTACCAAGGAGAAAACAATGATAATTCTCTCTCGATAAAAAAGAAAAAAACAACTCTCAAGAAACTCTCTAAATTCTCTCTAGTATTGGAAGAAAGCTAGAATGCTTTGGGATGGTTTTGAAGCTAAATGAGCTAGGATATTTATAGTTGAAACCTAAGGACTAATTTGTAAATACCTTAAAATTTAGTGACTAAATTGAATTATCCCATTTTTTATATTTTCAACAAAAGGGGCCATGCACCTTTCGGTGCATTAATTTAGGCACCTTTCGGTGCTAGTCAACAATCTCCCACTTGAAGATTTGATTGGAACAATCATATCTTCACACCATTCTTTCTACCTTGTACAATCATGTTGCTTACGTTTCTGTCAGGCCACAAGAGGATCGACACCAGCTAAATTTATCAGCGTTGATTGCCTTCATCATGAAATCTGCTATATTGTCTTTGGTATGGATCTTCTGCATATCTACCGTCCCTTCTTCCACCTTTTCACGAATGAAATGGTATTGAACTCGTATGTACTTTGTCCTTGAATGAAATGTTGGATTCCTTGCTAGATGCAAGGCACTTTGACTGTCACAAAACAGAGAGACAAACTCTTGATTGTGCCCAAGCTCCTCCAATAGCATTTTCAACCAAATTGCTTCTTTACTGGCTTGTGTAGCTGCTACATATTCTGCCTCTGTTGTGGATGTAGCCACAACTGACTGTAATTTTGAAACCCAGCTTACAGCTCCACCAGCAACTTTGAACACATATCCTGTAGTAGATTTGCTTTTATCCAAATCTCCTGCATAGTCAGAATCGAC